CTGATTTCTTGAGGGCATCGATTTCCTTCTTCATGGTCAGTGCAGATTCAATAGGATCGGATGTGTGTGTGGGAATCTTGACCAGAGGCTGAGCCCATCGATTTTCGATAGCAGGAACCTTATCGTCGGATCGCATATTTATGGGCATCACTACAGTAATTTCCTTAGGAGCCTTAACGCCTACATCGAGTTTGCTCCAAACGCGATTCAACGCGCAACCAAAATTGCCCATAAGCACATCGTTTATGGTCATTTTGCCATTGAATTTTGTACTTAGTTTGTTCTTAATCGCCTTCACCTTATCCAGATCATACGTATGAGACATAGCAACAACTTTTTTTCCTTCCAAGTTTGATGATTTAAAGAAGTTATCATCCTTTGGTTTGAAGATAATTTGTAAAAGCGTTGGAATGAACATGACAGTTGTCATTGCATGTACCAACCAAGGATTCGCAGGTGGCTTTTTCTGCACTTGTGAAGAACTCTCACTTACGGCCAGTGTCTTCTCTAGAATGGTGTCACTGTTGCTCTCTTCGATCTGCTTCATCTGTTGTTCAGTATTCAATATGTTGAACATCATGGTGCCGAGAGAAATCCCATCTCCAACTGTATGATGGATTTTGAACAACACTATGGTCTCAGATACCCCAGCGCTTTTTTTCTGGTAGTCTTCAATGACAGTGATATTCCATAAGGGGCGATCAAAAGGCATCGCTAAAGAACATTCACGTCCTAAGTATAGGTTCAACTCAGCCTCATTGGTCGGTTTGTTAGCATCGTCACACCTTCTGATCATAACATTCACATCGAAGTCTTTGTCCTTGATGAAGAATGGCAAACCCTTGTAACTTACATAACGCTGTTTAAAGCGACGGTAGTGATCTTGATTGACAGATGCCATGAACTCTTTTTTCATAGTCTCTGTAGTGAGGTTCTCCACCACCATGACTGCCGAAATGATACACTTATTTGTATCACCCTCAATCTTCCACATATTATCGCGCGCTGGAATATACTCGGTTTCCGGCCCGTAACGAGCTATAGCTTCAACAGTAATGGACTCAACTCGCCTTTTGAGATAAATACCAGTAAGCGCTACTAAGGCGCATACTGCAAATAGAATGTAAAGAGGAGTGCTCATAGATACTTAGTGTGCAGTCCTGAACACTTAAGCTGAAGATATTTAAAATGCTTCGCAGACCCTTCATTTGTTTTCCTTTTATAAATGTCACTTCTCAAGAATTGCTCCTTCCGCCGTCGTCGGCCTTAGCTTCCCTCTATCCAATATTGCCCACAACAAGAAGCGAGACCAGCCATATTTGTTCTGTGGCCTAAGCCCCAAAGCTTTGCTTAAGCCTCAAAGTGGAAAAGTCTTCCTATTTTCAATCCGTATTGCGGTTGAAGCAATGGAGGGTTTGGAATGACTATGGGATTTTCTATTTTTATCACCTGAGTATCTGAGACACTTTAGTCTTCGTCTGCTTCAATCGACGAAGTAGTCCAGACTTCAGTGGCCAGACTTCAGAGTCCAGACCCTGTATGTCTGTATAGAAGACTAAAACGAGAGTGAATCTAGCAGCAGTGACTCTGTGTCATCAGAGTATCTATTTGATTGCACATCTGTGTGTGAACTGTGAACTGTGAACTGTGACACTCTCTCGACAAGTGACGAGAAAAAAGAAATCTGTATTGCCTACAAAAGGCCGTGATTGGAATAACAACAATTACTATATATGGGGGTTTTTTTTTGGTGCCGTTAGCTCGTCATTTCGACACTTTACTGACAGACTCTCGTGTGAGTCGTGAGTCGTGACTCACGCGTGAGTCGTGAAAAATTGACTGATTGACATTGTGGGTCTCAGACTCTCAGGACTTGATCATGGTCTGTGAGCACTGTTGATACTTTTCTAAAACTTTACAGTATTTTTTTTTAGACTTTTAGTTGTATTTACAGTTGTACACATGGCGCTCAATTTTAAGCTCATGTTCTCAACATCTGTATGTGACTGAATTTTATATATTTTTTTAAAAACACAAACAATACATATTTTTGTGTAAATAAGTAAATTCATTGTAAATATTCATGTATTTATGGTATTGACTTTTTAACTTTTCGTTGCAAAAGAGCAAATAATTATTTCCTCTCTTTCCCTACATACTATTTACATTGGTTTAGTAGGGAGTAGATGCGAAAAATAATAAAAACCAAACCAAATATGTACATATGTACTAAAATACTATAAATAGAAAACGAGCTCCAAAAACAAAACAACTTTTAAGAGAAACAACATATAGAGCTTTCTAAATTATACATTGAAGTGGAATTTGTCTGATCGCATAGGCTTCTAAATTATAAATACAAGAAGGCTACATACGCTGATCGAGTATATTTTTAATATAAAAACATACAAATGAAACAAATCGCTCACTGATGTATGTATTTACATAAAACAGATTTATTTACTTCTTGTTTATTTTGCGTAGACTGCATTTGTTTTGATTGTGTATTTTTTTTAAACAAATTATACAATGTAATATAAAATACTTTATTTATATTTACGATTCGGATGATTGATATTCTTGGTATCCTTAGATGTTTCCGACCGTAAACTTATCTCGCTCACACAGATCTGCCTCATAAGAAGCTTGGCTCTCCCGTGTGTATATATGACTGCATGGCACATTTGCGCATCTGCTTTGATCAATCCGTCTCATCTATGCTAGAAGTATTTGTGACATATATATATATATACATACATACATACATACATACATATATATATGTATATATATTATATATATATGTATATATATTATATATATATATATGTACGTATGTATGCATGTATGTGTGTACGTATGTATGTATGTACGTATGTTTGTATGTATGTACGTACGTACGTATGTTTGTATGTACGTACGTACGTATGTTTGTATATTGCATATATGTATAT